ATATATAGTCATGGGATGTGGAGTATATAGTGTGGGAATGGAGTCAATGGAATGGTAATAGATAAGCATGATATCAGGGGTGGGGGGGTAGTGGATAGGGGGAGGGGGGTTGTCACTTTGTGAGGGGTGAAAAGGATAACTATTGCATTGTTTTGTACACCTGAAACTACTAATAAGAATAATTTTTAAAAAAATGAACCTCCTCTTATAAATCCTCTTTTATAGAGCTCAAACCGAGGCTCAGAGATCTGGTTAGTCCTGAAACAAAGGTCTCCTGATTCCTGCTTTCTTTTCACCAGGTTGCTGCACTGGGGCCTGCCTTCCAGGAGAGTCATTATTGGCAAGGGTGAGTTTCTGGGGGAAATGAATATGTGCTGAGAGGGAGGGAAGGCAGTAGAGGGACCCCCAAGAGGGTAAAGAGAGGGCAGTGGAAGGGGGGGGGCGAGGACAACCTCTCCTACCCTCTCAGTTTGCTGAGGTCTCTGAGGTTAGGCCTTCTCAGGTCTCACTGCCACCTTCTCCACCTCTTTCAATTTGCCTGTCTTTGTGTGGTTGAAGCCGACCTAGCATAAAATAACACATTTTTCCGCTTTTTCGCACATTTTGAAAGCAAAGACAGGCTTTAATGATCAGTTTTCTGTTCCTTGGTATTTTCTTTTGAGCAAAGGCTGTGTTTTTATAAGATACTACATTTCAATGGGCTATTCTTTCCATCCTGACAAACATTCCTGAGTGGTAGGTTTTAGGAGGCATTCCAATTTATTGCTTCTGGTGTCCAATAACCTTGGAATGAGTATCTGTCTCCATGCCCCCCAAGGCCATGTTATTTCAGAAAGTTACAGCTCTTAAAATCGTTCTCTAATAAAAGCGAGTGCCACTAATTCTAAGTAAAGTGAGCTTTCCAAATAAAACCAGCTGTGAACATTTAAAAAAAAAAAAGGAAGAAAAACTTCAACAACTGGAGTTCAGAGTGAAAACTGAATGCAGATGAACTTTTTCAGGCACTTTCGCAACCGTTTAAGAAGATGTCTTCAGCAAACTCATCTAAATTAGCTATAAATGCTTCGCACGATGAACATGTTGTGTCTGTAGGCCAATATTCAATCCAGGTTGAGGAATCTAAAGGGTAAATATACCTGCCAAGGAAAAATGAAAAAAGGAGCGTTTCTGATGATGGCCACAAATAGAGAAGAGTTGAATTCAATTGAACTCAGGCTGTTCAAATCCCCAGGCTGTCGACCAAACTCTTCAGGAACGGCCTCCCCCTGGGAAGGCCCATAAGCCCCTGACAGTCGTGAAACTTGCTTGGGGCTCCCCCGCAGTTAAAGGCAGGAACACCATCTGTTTCAACGTCTTTTTTTTTTTTAAAGCATAATAAAATGCGTATTTAAACATTTTCCATTTTACAAACAGAATAGTTGGAGAACTTATTGAAGGAGCAGGTGTGGTATAAGGGGCTTGGATGAGCACCCTCAGTCAGATGCATCTTCAGACACAGGCCCTCAGTTGGCTTATCGGTCAGCAAGTCCTCAGCTGCCCTAATGGTTTTAAATAGTCCTTTGTTTTCAACTCACTTTATTTCATTTATGCTCCTAATGGTTTGTTGGTTAACAATAGGGCACGTAAGAAACATGTATTCAAGAATAAATTACACTCAGTTTTGGAGGGAAGATCAGAGACTTCGAAATATCAAAATATCGATGACTTACTTGAAACTGAAATTGTGTTTTATCTGGAGGGCTTCTTTACCCATAATTAAATACTGTCTTCCTTTTTGCAGGTCAGCGTTAACACAGGTCATCTTTTTAATGAGGGTGATTTCAGAGTCTTTCTCAGCAACAGCTTCGCCTGAGAGACATACAACTAAGGTTATCACATTCATGTTACAATGTCAAGATTATAAACTCTCTAAGCATTCCAGTCCCTCATGGCTATTTATTAGTGAGTGTAAAGTTATATTGAGAGGCTAATGGCTATTGCAGAGTAAGAATGTTCATATGGTTAAGACTTCAGACTTAAGCTGGGTTATACCCCAGCTATGCCACTTCCTGGCTGTGTGGCCCTAGACAAACGATTTATGCTCTCTGTGTGAGGGCTCAGCCCCCTCGTCTGAAAAATGGGCATGGCAATAAAACCAACTGTGTAGAACTGTTGTGAGATTAAATGGGTTAATATATGAAAAGTGCTTAGAACACGGTAAGCACAATATAATTGCTTGTAATTACTACTCTTGTAGAACCAGGAACTACAAGAACCTCTTATAGTTGAACAATATTAATCTCCATATGTGATATGTCAAAATAAAAAAGTAGTTGTTAGCTGGTAATGTGTAATTTTGCAGACAAGTGCAAGGCCTGTAAAAGACTTGGGAAATTTTAAGGAAGATAACCTTGGGATTCCCAAAGAACTCAGAAGTAGCCAATAAGCTGGCCCCTACCTAGAATGGATTCCTCCCCATGTTGGCCTGTTGAATTTCTTCTCATCTTTAAACACATCTTCAGTTCTCACAGTATCCAGTATACACTCCTTGGTACTCTTTGTCATAAACACCTGCCTCCCCCTTACTCCCATTATATTATACTTGAATTTCTAGCACACTGTTTCACTCCACATATCTGTTTCAGCTGGGCTGGAAACTTCTGGAGGCAGGGACTGGGTCTAATTCATTGCTATATTTTCAGGACTGATATCTAGTTAGTTATTAAACTCTGGCAGAGTCATCCTAATGATGAAATCTGGAAAAACTTCTGAACAATGTTGGTATATAGATACAATAGTAACTGCATAGATGATCCACTTTAATTAGCAACTTAAGTTCCAGTGTACACACATTCGTTCAAGCTAATTTTCTCAGGCTTGCATGATGACTGTTAATGCATGATTTCCTCTTGTAGCAACATCTAAACAACTTTCTCAGCACTATTTGCTGATCCAATGCCTGTAGTAATAAGCATAGTGGCTATTCCGTGCCTTATCATTATTTTTAAAAACCTTTCGTTATGGAAAGTTTCAAGCATAGTCGGAAGAAGAGAATAATTAGGGCTGGCCGAGTGGCGCATTGGTTAAGAGCTGGCTTGGGACACCAGAGGGCCCTGGTTCAGATCCCACATATGAGGGCCAGTGACACTGCCCTCTAAGCTAAGATGCTGAACAACAGCTCGACCTGGAGCTAGGCTGCCGTGAGTCACTGGCGACGGTGTAGGCTGCAGCCCCTGTTGCAGTGGGTTGCCATGGACTACCGTGTGTAGCCAGCAGCCAGCGTGAGCGGCCAGCAGCCACTGTGAGTGGCCGTCCAGAAGCCGGCAACTGATCTGCCTC